AAATTTTATTTGAAAAATAATTGTTATCTTTTCTAGAGTTCAGAGCAATGAGCGTCCCTGCCTCCTATTTGCACAAAACTTCCTGAAAATAAGAATATGGGAAAATGACCTTGATAGGGCTCTCTCAGCTCTCTCTTATGGCCATGTTTCCATCTGCCCTGGAGATTCCTCAGTATTTAGGAAAATAAAATTTTATTTAATCTACAATTAAAAATGATGAGTAAGGTAGATCTGTGGGTTGTGTAAAAGAAGATATAATTCCAAATCCAAAAGAAAAGGCTCTTTGAATTATCTATGTATTGTATTCTACCCTCATTAACATTACTACACAAGGATGATTTATGATTCTAATGACTGTTTCTGGGAGGCATGGAATCCTCCCCTTGGGTCCCTTGGCTCCAGGCAGACTCTCCTTCTCTTCCCTGCACTCTCTGACATGCACAATAGGACATCATGTCCTGCTTTTTGTCTCTTTCCCTAGATTACCTCCTCATCTTTAGATTGCCAGGCAAGTATGGTTTGGCAGTGGAGACTTGGCTGCCAGGGAAGAATTGTGCAATGTTACGTTGTGGCATTTCTACTCTTCCTCTAAAGTGTCACCAGGGCTCAATGGAAAGAATTCATTTTGTCCCTTTTCACGGCTCTATTGCCTTACCACACACTTTTCCCACTCTGTTATCTGCGCTTCACATATTAGAACTACCAATGAGTCAAAGGATTGAACCAAGAATCAGAGCAGACCCTAAAAGCTGTTCAGGGAGGACTGTGCTGTCTGTGAGGACATCTTTCTCTTTAAGATGCACCAGATTTAAATAGCTCTCAACCTCTCAATGGCTAATACCTACACATACTATTAGCTAATGGAGGAGATAGTTAAAGGAGGCCAAACAGATCCTTTCAAGCAGAGAAAGTAATTCTGGAGATTAAGAAATATAGGGAAGAGGAAAAGAAGGGTGAAAAGGGAGGTTGGTGGGTAGAATGAAAGGAAATTAAGAAAAGAAAGGTGGGGACAGAGGAAAGGGAATTGAAGAAAATAAAAAGGAATAATCAATCCTCAATGGAAATCCTACTGTGGATTCATTCTTTCCATTATTCATTCAACAAGCACGCTGAATGCTATATAGACTAGGCACTCTGTTAGACTTTGAGACATATTATCTCATTTAATTCTCATAACAATCCCATGAGCAAGACATGATTCCCTTTTTACAGCTAATTAAATTAAGATTCTGAGAGTTTAAGAAACAAGCCTGGTTTATACAACTAAAGGCAATGGAGAAGGTACTGGATTTTAAATCTATCCAGATTCACTATTTTGGCCTTTGTGTTACCAAATTCCCATGCCAACCATTCTATCAAATATTTTTAATCTTAGGATAATGGACCATGATAAACCCAGATTTTGGAATCATTAGTTCTGCCTGACCATTCTGGTCTCTTGCTGATACAAACAGGTGTCTCCTAGTCCCCCCACCCTCCCCCACATGATTGTAATAGCTTTAGAGTGCAGTTACCAAGGTGCTTATCCTCCTGACCTGAACACATTGCACCTGAGACACTCTGGTATTAAGAGGAAGCAGAGCTACCTGGCCCATGAGTCCAACCTCAACGGTTACTTTCAGGAACAGGTATCTATCCTTGGTCACCTAGTCTTCAGCACACCTGAGTTCTGCATCCTCTTCAAATAGCTAGAACTGGAAGAACCCCATTTCAGTTTTTTTCATCTTACTCTTCTATCTTCCTCAACCCAGAACTCACTTTCATTTTTCTCAATCCACATCTGAGCCCAACTTTGTCTCACTGAGCATGTGGGAAGGAAGACTCTACCTGCTACAGACTGCTGTTCCACCAAAGCTTTCAGAGCAAGCCTATGTACCATGCCTTGACATGGACCATCCTCTTTAACCCTTATATTACAAAGTAAGTATTCATAAACTCATGTTGAGGACATTGAGAAATTAAGTGCTATTTCCTAAATTCACATAGCTAGCAACTAGTGGAGTTGGGACAGGAACACAGGTCTGATTCTAACTTGTTTCCTTCACCACCAAACCAGATGATTTCCCAAAAGCAAGGAAGAAAATAATGAGTGGGTGGGGAGACAGCCTAGGCTCAAGAAAAGCTAGCTCTTGTTGACTGGAGAGCAGCAGGCAGCAAGTCATTATCCAAGGTTTGAGAAGGCTCGGAGAAGTCTCTAAGAGGTTTCATGACAATCCACAGTGACCTCGTGTCCTGTGTTCTCTTTCTTCTTCCTCCACTATTTGATGAGTCCCAACACAAATACCACCCAGCCTTTCTGCAGATCTCTGGCCAACTTCTGTCAAGGCTAAAGGAAAACCTGTGTGAAAGGAACAACTGTCATGACCTTTTGGAAAGTGGAAAGTAGGGAGGAAACAAAAGAAAAAGAAAGATGGAAGGAAAGGAAGGAAGGAAGGAAGGAAAGAAAGAAAGAAAGAGAGAGAGAAAAAGAAAAAGAAAGAAATAAAGAAAGAAGGAAGGAAAGAAAGAAAGAAAGAAAGAAAGAAAGAAAGAAAGAAAGAAAGAAAGAAAGAAAGAAAGAAAGAAAAAGAAAGAGGGGTGTGTGTGTTTTCCTTAAGGCTGGGAAGGGACCCAAGGAGCCTGGAGATGTAATGGGATATGGTTACAGATTACAAAAGTTTTGCTACAGCTGTAATAGCCTTTCACAAAGGCATGGCCCTCCAGAGAGCCATATTTCATCTCCGCTTTCCTGACCACATAAGACAGAGGGTGAGGAGCTGAAAGGCAAGATTGGAAACTCATGCGGGAGCTGAGCAAGCTCTGACATCCCCATGGCACTCCCATCAAACCAGAATGAACTGGACCAAAATGCTCTTGTCATAACAGGCTTTGGATCCCATCCCTGTCATCTGCTTATTTATTATTTTTTTCCTCACACTCTCTTTTTGGAAATGCATTGCCTAGCAACCCACTGTCTCCTTCTAAACAGCCATGCACACAATGGTACACATGCACTTGGGGACCCTGGGATGATATTTGAGTGTCTCCAATGGCCTCACTAGGATCAACAGATCATTTACTTGGAAGAGTAAGTTCCTAGAATTTGTGTTAGTCAGAATTGCATCTTAGGCAGTCCCTGTGGCTGTCACTGGCTTGCTAGGAAGGGGACATCTCTACCTAATGGCAGGCAGGGATGGCCCCAGAGGGACTCAGAGGCAGGCAAGCATCTACAAGGGCATTACTCTCATCCAGGTAAGTCTGTTGGAGCAGTCACCTGCTGGTACTTGAGAATGTTCTAAAGGTTCTGATTCACTACAGAGAAGCAGAAGAAAACTCACAAAGGTGATTTCCTATTTGAAGTGATCAAGGGAAAGCCTTGCTTCCTTAGACTCTACCATGCCACTATGGTTACCCTCCAAATTTAGGGTACAGAGAATGGTGCTCTCACAAAGGGCTGCTACTCTGACATAATTCTATCTGCTGGGAGGGAAACTGTGACACAGATCTGCATCCTAAAAGATCCAGCTATCCAGCCTCTGGGAAACTGATTGCCTATTATAACACTTTCATTGTAAAGTAAACCACAGACACCAGTTCAGATCCTGTCTTAGTCAGTTTCCTTGTCACTAATACCTGACACCCACAACGTAAAAGACGAGAGATTTATTTTGGCTCATGAATTTAGTCCATAGTTGGCTGGCTCCAAGGCAGAAAGGCATGGGGGAAGGGCCTGCGCAGAAAGCTGCTCACCTCATGGCAGTCAGAAGAGGGCAGAGAGTACAGGGAGGAGCTTGAAAGAGAGATATGTACTTCCTGGCCACACCCCCTGTGACCAGACTAACAGCAAGTACCTTCTAACAGCAAGTTATCTATAAGCTCCCATAATCCAATCAGCTGTCGAAACCCTCACCTTTGAGCACATGAGGCTTTGAGAGACAGTCAGATAAAACCTTAACAGGCCCCCACACAAAACAAATGTAGAATTTAATAGACAATTATAAGGTGCACTGTAGTGTAGTTGACCCTTGGTAAAGAAATAGACCCTCCTATGTCACCCAGCTTAGTCTCAATGCCCTCCCTTTTTCTGACCACAAACACTCTCCTGGCTTTTAGAATGATCCCTTCTTTGCATCTCTGTAGTTTGGGTTCCAGGCAGGGATTTCTAGATACTGTTCTTTAGTCTTGGCCATTTTTCAAAACTTGACATGTCTTTTCAATCTGTTTCATGTGCAGATGCCCTCGACCCCCTTTTGTTTCTTTATAACTTATCTGCTGAAGAATCTGGGACATTTGAGCTGAAGCTTTGACACTGGGCAATTGAAAAAGACACACACACACACACACACACACACACACACACACATATGAATAGGCTGTTTCTACTTTCACTTGCCTTGAAGTTTGTTTTCCAGGAGATACTGGGGCAAGTGGAGAGGAAAATCATATGAATACAGTGCAGTGGGTATTAGGAGCACCGAGGGGACATTTTGTGAGTATGACAATATTTTCCAATCCCTCCTTCCCTGCCATTCTGCTGGCAAGGGTATACTAACAGGTGGCCAGGGTCACTGCCTCCCCCACAGACTGGGTGTGGTAGATGGGAAAGCTGTAGCAATCTCCTCAAGGGAAAAGCCCAAGGCCTCATCCTTGTTAAAAGCAGGTCTGACAGAACAAAGGGGCCTAGTAACCAGAGAGGCTTGGGGGGGAGACTGAACACCTGCTTGACCTTCCGGTGTCCATCATTGGTTTGCTTAGCCCAAAAGCCTTTCTTCCCTGCTCTGGGCCTCAGTTTCTCCCCTTGGCAGCATGCAGATGTGAGCATCCATCTTATGGCAGCATGCAGTCACCAGTCACGCGTGTTTGCAGAGCCAGGGCTCCCCTGGGGAGAAAGGCACCTGTGTAAACACAGCGGCCAGGCCGATGTGCTTGTCAGATGCACTCTGTGGAAGGCGCCATCCCAGGCTGCAGCCTCGATGCTGCCGGGAACAATGCCAGCTCTGTTTGCCCAGCTGCATTCTTACCTTCCCCTCGGCTCCTCCGAACTGTGGCTCCACCTAGTTTTCTCAGCTGGGGGGCCCTGGTCAGGAGCTGGGTCTGCAGTAGACAGCAGTGATTCACTTTGGAAGCTCCAGTATGAGAGAAATTTGATGATAAATCTCCAAAATACAACATGAGGTTTTTTTGAATCTCGTACTATCTGGACCTCAGGTGGGTCCCTGTGGGAGGAGAGAGGTGGGAGCAGAGTGGGTCTAACAATTCCAAGACAGTCCTGACTTTTCCAGCATACTTAGAAGAAAGTGACCCCCTCATCCCTTTTACCATATTGCCCACCCACCAAAAAGCTCACATCGTCGTTAGAGAGGAGGCCCCAAGGCTTACTTTTAATTTACATAAGTGTTAGTGTATGCCCTCCTCAAGGAGAAAATAGAAATAACTGCCTATCATTTGCCTCTGAAAGCTGCAGTTTAGAAGTATAAAGGAATCTGGGTTCCTATCAATTTGAGACAAAACCATTCCATTTTCAACTGCAAACATCTATCCAAGGGAGTCCATGTGATTCCAAACTCAAACAGACAAAAGGTATTTCGATAAGCTCAGAAGACCAGCTTGCCTCTAAAATTTAAGCCAATTACTATCCCTTCGATGTTCCTTGAAGCATGTGAAATAACTGGTCTGCAAAATGCTATTTTTCTAAGGGATCTTCAAGAATAATTCTGATGACATACGGAAGCCCGTGTAGCATGGCCTAGATAATTCCTTTCCTTCAGCCCCTGGGCAAGATTTGCTAATCACTTCAGACCCATGCACTTGGTGAAATCTCAGGGTGCCCAGTGGTCCCCTAACTGTGGAACATTTAGGGTTAGGGACAATGGATGCCATGACCTTGGAGAGTGAATGTTAGCTGGCAAGTATTTATGCTTGGCACTAATAAAGATATTTTGATCGGGAGAGGGAGGTCACAAGTTTTCAGAGTAATGAAGGAAACTGCACCTGTGAATCCTTGGATAAGAAAGGAAAGAGTACTGAAAAGAGAGAGAGAGAGAGAGAGTTCCAGCAAAAGAAGTTGGCTTCCAAAGTTCTGCACTTATCATTGCTGACTCAAGATTAGCCCTGCCTCCTGGGAATCCCAGCAGGTCTGTTCTAGACAGCAAAGGGAAATCTGTCATTTTCTGGGGTCCTAAGAACAAGAAAAGACCTCTGGCCTAAGTGTTACTTTTTGAGAAATTCATAAGATGCAATGACACTGAGCTAAAAGGCAAGGGTTTGATAGACCAGATTATGGGACTTTTTCATGGTTTGCTCAGCAAGACAGACCCAGTAAGCATTAAACACTGTATGCGTCAGAAAAGCTTATGGAATCAAATCACATATGAAGAGCTTAATCACATACAACAACATCCAGCTACCTCTTATCCATTCTAATTCCCTGGCCCTCCTTGTCTGGCCTCGTCTTGTGCCCTTGTTGTCTTTGCTTCCAGTATTGCCCTACATTTTCCCAGATTGTCTCCTCTGTGCTTTGCCTTGGGTTTTCATGTCCTTCCCTCTTTTGTTCCCACTTTTTCTGCTGTTGGTCTTGGCTGGGCTCGGTGCTTGAGTTTCAGTCATTTCCTGACATTTTCCAGTGTTCCCTCTGAGGTGTCATTTTTCCCTCCATGCCCTCTACCCTTTTCCACTCTCCTCTTTCTCATCTCTAGCTCTATTGATGTGAACAGAGCGAGCAATTAGGGCTTCAAAGAAGGGAGAGGGCCTGAGTCAGCACCCCTGAGAGAGGCTGAGTTCTGTTCTGCTGGCCAGGAGAAGGAATAGAAAGGAGGATTTAAAAAAAAAAATTGTAGAAACTAAAAATTAGAGAAAACAGCAGACAGAAGGGATCAAAATTAAGAAGGGGAAGAGAAGGTAAGGGGGGAAAAAGGGAGAAACCAAAAAAATTGCAAATATATAAATCTGGAGAGTCAAATTTCTCTTTTAAAAAGGTAAAAAGAAAAAGGAGCCATTGGTCTATGCCTTAAAGTTGACCTTCAAGGCTAAATCCAGAGCAGATGCTCCTGTCTCATTTAGTTGATATAGTCAGATCAGTCACATCTTAATGATCAATCACATTTGAAATTTGGACACCTCCCACCCATCAAGGGTGCCCACTGTGAAGGCTTTTCTTGGAGTCCATTAAAAAGTGATGAGACTTTTGTTTGCCTGGTTTCTGTTGAGAGGGACTTAAGCATTGGGACTTCTGGGAGACTGGTGAGTATGAGAAGTCCAAAGAGAGATTTCCAGACCATCAACCTGCCCATTTGCCTATACTCTCTTGAAGACTGGGTGTAGTATTCTGAGTTTAAGAAAATAAAGCAAACTGTTTATCATTGGATCTCATTCTTCCCTGGCAAAAGGTACATTTGGGAACTATAATCCATTGTGTTTTATCTCCCCCAAAATATATATCCACCCAGAATCTGTAATTGTGACCTTATTTAGAAACAAGGTCTTTGTAGAAATTATCATGTTACTATCATACATATATTAAGTCAGGCCCTAAATTCAACATGATTGGTGTTATAAGAGAGAAATTTAGACAAAAAGGTACAAATGCACAGGAGAGAAAGTTGTGTGAAGACAGAGGCAGAGATTGGAGTGATGTAGCTACAAGCCAAGGAATGTCAACAATGCTAGCAACTGCTACAATCAGGAAGGAGCAAGAAGCACCCTGCTCTGTAGCCTTCAGAGGGAAATTGCCCAGCCAGCACCTCGCTTTCAGACCTCTAGCATGCAGACTCGAGAGAAGCAATGCTGCTGGTGTAAACCACTTAGTCTGTGCACTTTGTCACGATGGCCTTAGGAAACTAATGCAGTGTCCAGTGTCTTGGTGTTGGTCATGCTAAGACAGAAGGATAGTAAGACTTGCTCTCTGGCTGCTCCTAGGTCAAGGCCCCTGGCCCACCAAGTCATCATTCAGCTTAAGGTGATGTGTCTCTCCCCACAGTCTTGCTTTTTATTAAGCATGTCCTTGTGGGGAATTGTCCACTGTGTTTTATCTCAGTTTCTCATAAATAGAGAAGCCCGTTTGGAGAGAAGCCTGCTTTGGCAGGCAGGCTTTGGCAGTTCTGACAGCTTTGCATATCGCTCAAATGAGTTATGAGTGGTTGGGGACTGGGGACTGGCCTCAGCCCCCTCTCCTCTGAGTCCCATGGTCTCCCCAGAGAAAGTGACCCAGAAATACTCCCAAGCTCCTTTTATTTTCTAGGAACAGAACAGCCCCTTGGCAAGAGCCTAAAGAGAAAAAGAGGTCATCACGCATATCCCCTAGTCTCCCTGGTCCTCCCCAAATACTTCTTAAACTATAGTAAAGAGTTTTCAAGCTACTATTCTTCATCCGTAAGATTTCTGACAAGATCTCCTGGCATAGCCTGATTCAAGGCTACTGGTTCACAACTAGAACAGAAGATCATACCAGACATGTGCTAGGAAATATTACCAGGAGGCTAGAGGGACTCGACAGGTGAGAGCAGGGGAGAATCCCAAATAGATACCTCAGCGAACAGAGCAGAATTAGGATATTGTCCTGAGCTTATATTTTTCCTCCTCCTACAGTGACTCTCCCAAGCTCCCAGCAACTCTCTTCTTCTATAAGCAATACCAAGGGCTGGGGAATACCAGCGCTATTTCTCTGTTCCAGGCACAGATTTCTGAAACAGCAGGAATGGGAAGAACCTGGAGACCCCTGGGGGCCAGTGCTCTCCAAAGCAGAGTGTGTGCACTCCAGGAATGGAGCAAGACAATCCACTGGGGTGTGGGAAGAAAACATTGAAACTTCTAGTTGTACTTGCTTAGTTCTTAAAAAATCAAAAAAAGAACTTTGTTAATAGTTAAGACAAGGATGGACAGTAGTAAATCTATACAATTTGTCAATGTGTCTATATTGATGTGACTCACCTGAAATTAATTTTGGTTATGCACCCTGAGCAGGAGAAAACATAAGAGGCCAACCATTCTAGTCCACAGATTTTCAAAATATGTGGTAGAGGGAGAGAAGATGGGAGATGGAGCAAGTGAGAAGTCTGTTCATTCTCCGCTGGGCCTCATCAGGCAATTCAGCTCTGCTTCTACACTCTCTGCACCCTAAGCTTCTGCATTGTGATTTGTGATGAAAGGATTCTACTAAGAAAAAGTTGAAAAAACTTACTGAGCTATTTCAGCTCCCTTATTTTTCATATGAAAAAAAAAAAAAAAGACCCAGAGGAAAAGTGATTGCCCCAGGTCATTAAGGCCAGGGCTAAGGCTACAACCACCTCTCCTGACTCTGGTTTCTATGTCTTTTGACTGTACCATGTGTACTCCAGAGCATGTTTTCTGTGTGGATGACCTTACATAACCAGCTGAACCACAGGGGAAAGATGGCACGTCTCCTCTAGCAACAATCTGCAATCTCAGAACAGAGACAACTTTGCTGCCTATTCAGGATGCTTGCTGGGAGGAGAGGCAGCTCTGGCATCCTCTACTCTTGGCTGGGTCCTTGAAGCACATGCTAACTTGATTGATCTCCCAGTTGATCCCAGTGACACTTTCTATTTATTGTTCAGAGGCAGGGCCTTACACCAGGAGGGTATACAAGTTGAAATCTCCTCGGAGGCCTTCCTTATTGCTAGGTAGATTTAAGGCAGGGGAAACACCAATCTTGGTTCAATTTAAGGTTCTGGGAGTCACACCAAGTGATTTATTTCCCTGTAAGATTAGCACACCTTGCATGCTGATCGTCCCTCCCATTCACCACACTGGCACACTTGTTGCCACCAGCTCACCACTCTCAGATCCTTTAGGGTTTTAGCAAATTTGAGATGGACAAGACTTTTTGGGAGACTAAAATAAAAGGAAGAAAGTTGTCTACCTTTTTAAAAACTTGTTTTACAGATTAAAGAAAACAGCAAAAAGAGGACCCAGCAAACACAACCAGCAAGGTAGAGTAGTATGGTACTGCTGCTAAGTGAGTGCTGTAGGAGTTGAGATTTGTTTCTTTCTCAGTCGAACTCCTTGAGCGTAGGGAATGTGTTTAACTCTATATACCTAGTGCTTGGCAAATAGTAGATGTTTAATAAATATGACTAGCAAATCAATACTAATTCAGCCAATGAATAAGTAAACAAATGAGTAAATGAGCTCTTAAACAAATGAGCACATAAATGAAAAGAGAGAGGATCTCATTTAGAGCAATCTAGGAAATTGTATTGTGCAGGAAGACTGAAATATCTAGAATCAGAAGAACAGGGCAGAACATTCAAAGTGGAACACCAAGGCACAAGAGTGCAGAACTAGAAAAACACTTTGCTGGGACTCACTGATAGTAGATTTGAAAGCCAAATGGCAAAGCCAGCTTCATAAACTGAAATGTGAAATTGAATGGCATGCTTGCAAACCTGAATTGCTAGAATTAAGCAAGAGAAAAGTGTAGGGAAAGCAATGTGTTAGGAAGGTGAGTTGGGATGATGTGAAGTAGTTGTTAGAGAAGGAAGCAAGGGATGATGCATCCCATTCCTTATTGGTCTTCTTTCTCCAGTACCCAGTGTGTTCCCTGATCCTCAGCCTGAGATCCCCAACAAGCTGAGATGAGCAGTGCTAAGACAATGTCCTCACCACCCCACCACCAGTCAAGGGCTATAGTCTGCCTCGTTGTAAGCTTTCTGTGTGGTTTATTATAATATGGTGGCTAGATCTTCCCACTAAAACTGATTAACCCAATCTTTAAGACAGACAAATTAGCCCAAAATACTATTTATTTCAACTGACTTGGCTTCCAATCAAATCCACTCTGACAGTTGGCCCTTACTAATCCAACCTTGGGTAAACTCACTCTACCCTCTCTTCTTCATTTCTCCACTATGGTTGTCCAGCTCTGTTTCCATCTTCAATTGCTTCTCTCAATTGCTGTCTACATCTCTTTTTCTTCCATTTGCTTATAACTGTATCTTCTCTTTACAACCGAGCTGTGACATGCACATGGAACAATGGCAGGGCAGCGTTCCTTATCCCAGCACTCTCAGTGGAAGGCCTTTTGGACATGTCAAAAAGTTCTGGTTCAGAAACATAAATTATAGCCACTGTTTTCTCAAGGTCTCTAAGAAATTTCAGCTGAACGTACCCCATTGCTTCCAAATAATTTTTGATGAAGCTCCATATACCTAACATCCAGGAATCTCGCCAAAGGACCCTATTTAACTTGGCCATGCTGCCCCATATAATTCATCAATTTTTGGTGTTAGGGATAAATATATTTTTTGTCTGATACTATGCTAAATCAGGAGACCTGTGGCAACGTCATACATTTGCAGAATTATTCTATGTTGTCTTTGGTATAAAGCATAACATTTCATATTGAGAAAATTGTGTGTATATATTTACCTTTGTTATATATAACAAAGGTAAACATAGCACAGCCTCTTCGCCTTCCAGATGCTCATGCATAAGATGACCCTTCAAAGCTCAAAAATGACTGTCTAGAAGCCAAAGAGGCTGTGCCATGTTTATCTTGGTAAAATGAAACCACACTTTCTTTCTAATATGAAGCCACATTAACTATGACTTCAATAGATGTCTATTAAACAAATGCATCAGCTCATGAATTATTCCAAAATGTAGCCCATTTAACTCAGTTTTTTAAAAATTCTTCCAGCACTTTTCCATTTGAATCTATACTGCTGTAGCCTGATGCCAGTGAGGATCTATGCATTCTTTCCTGACTCCTCAGTATGTCACTTAAACTCATTCTTTTTTAAAAAAAAATCTCTTTTTCCTTTTTTTATTAGTATATTTTGCCATGCATAATAATCACATTCACCATAGGGAACTGGTACATATACATATTGCCACTCAAATTTTTTTACTTCTCTTCCCCCTCCCTTCCTTCCCATCTCTCCCCATCTTTAGGCCCCCTTCCCATCTATACTTAGTTTATCTCCCTGTTCACTCTTTTCATTACAAAGTGGGATCTATGCCTTCTCCCCTTGAATCTGAGAAGGGCAGCAAAGTTGTGACACACAAAGTATAACAAAAGTGACACTATGCCAGTTCAGACCTAACCTTTAAAAGGACTGGTTGCTTCTGCCTTGGTCTCCTGGAGCCCTGAACTGAGATTCAGACTACTGTTATGGAAAGGCCATGTGAAGAAGTGCTGACACTGCATGGAAAGGAAGAGGACTCCAGAGGAGCCCAGATGTCCAACTGTCCCCATCAAGGTGCTAAGTGTAGCAGATTACAGCCATCATTTGCAAACAGCTGAAGCAGCATAGAAAAGCTGTATAAAGACAGTCCACATAAGAGCCCCAACTGAGCTCCTAGCCAGCAGCCACCTTCAACACTGGCCACCAGAGTGTGCCATTTTGATGACCATCTCAGACAACTGCAGCCCCCGTCAGTGTGTGACTAGGATTTCATGAGCGAACCCAAACAAGAACTGTCCTGCTGAGCCTCTTCAGCATGCAGAACTGTAAACTGTAATGATAAATTACTGTTCGAGCCACTAAGTTTTAAAGCAGTTTGTTACATGGCAGCAGATTACTAAAACACACTGGTAGGCAGTAAACATTGAATTGAAGGGCAGGGATTATACATTGACCTTTTCTTCAGTTTCTAAAATGCCTCATAGAGGGTTTTGCCCACAGCTGAGGGAGTATACAGCTTCTCACTTTACAGACAGGAGCACCAAAAATAAATAGGAACTCCTCCTTATGGGGGATATGAATAACTTCATCTAATTACAGATACATGCTTCTGTCACCTGCCTTCATGGTGTCCCTGTCTTGGGAGAGACTGTGGACAGCCAGCTCATCCATCCTCTGTCTCCCGATACAAATGTTCCTTAAATTCAATCCTGCCAGAGAGCTCTCCACTGTGTTTTATGTTTTCCTTCTTATTTTTCTTCTAATCACGAGAGGAAGATCTTGCTGCTCCCTTTGACAGTGTGTTCCAGCAGCTCATAAATATTAATCAGAGCATTCTAATGGGTGTTCCACCTCAGTTTCTCCAAATGAAGTATAAGTCCTTTCTTCTTGTTTATTCATCTTGGTTTTTTTTTTGCCTTTACTTTCCTAAACTTTAAGGAATACAAAAGAAAATACTACTTACTCCTCTGTATTTTTCTTTCATCAATATGAAGAGCTGTGTCACTTCATCCCTCTGTAGAAGCCAGAATGTCATTAAGAAATTCCCCAGTACATTATTCTGAAAAATGCAAGATAAAGTCACCTGCCCTGCCTACCTGAATGGGTTATGAAAAAATTGAAAGTGAAATGAATATAGGAAAGCAATTTATAGGCTCTACAGCATTCTATAAATATACAACATCTTTGGTGAAGGTGGCTTTTCGGTTAATAAAGCTCACAGAAATAGTGCTTTAGTTTCCTAGGCTGGGGCAGGGGTATGGAAGGATTGTGGGGTAATGGCGAAGGGCTGTGGTATTTCTTTTGACAGTAATGAAAATATTCTAAACTATGGTACTGCATAACGCTGTGAATGTACCAAATGCCATTGAATTGTACACTTTAGAGAACTGTATGCTGTATGAATTTTATCTTAATGAAGCTGCAGAGGAAGGAAGGAAAAAAGAAGAAAGAAAAAGTAGGGGAGAGAGGGAAGGAGGAAGGAAGGGTGGAATCTCAAGGACTCTATCTCTTTTCTGAGTTTACATTAATCTTTCTTCTGTGGCCTCTGTCATTTGTTGTTCCTGAGCCCCACCAGACAAGGTGGTCCTGGGGGCACCTTGACTTCCATCTCCAATATGTAGACCTTTTGATTATTGGGCTCTTCCCATAAAGAAAGTTCATCCTCCAACAAAAGGATAAGAAGATGAAGAAAAAGAGGGGAAAATGGATAAATGAACAAAAACCTTAGATAAGACAAAATGGGCTGGTTAGAATCTGGGGTGTCATGGTGTGGGCTAGTTTATAATTTCTAGAATTGGCAGGAGAGATAATCCCTAAGCAGATATTTAGTCAGCAAAGGATTGCAGCCCTTACCCGTGAGTTCCAAGTCTCAGTGATGAGAGAGACTAGGTCATAATCACCTTTACTTTACAGGCACTCTCCTCTCCTCCACACCCTCCTCTTTCATGTCCTAGCAGTGCTGGGGAACAAAAAGAAAGAGGTTTGAAACATAGATTATACTTGGCCGAATTCCTCTGCCTGCTTCCCCAGGCCTGCTTTGTTCTGTTGATAACCTTTTGTGAGGCCTTCCAGTCCAAGCAGCCTCCATGAGAAATGGGTAAGGAGCAAGGCCAGGAAGGGGTGATACCTACAGGAATCCAGAAGCCCGAGGTCACCAGCCAACCCTGGCCAGAGAACTGCCCTTCCTCTGCCCAGCTTGGTTCTGTCCAAGGCTATGACAGAGATGGAGCATCCCTCAGGGAGGACCTTCTGAGGACCCAGCTGACATTTTCTTTTACTGTGTCTCACCCTTTCTGGGAGCACAATCTAGACTTGGATCAGCACTCTGCAGACTACAAAAATAAAAGAGAATCTGACTCTTGGGATACAAATGATGGGGGTTAATGCTATCACTCATGTTGGCCATGACAGCCAGCACCCTGACCCTCACCTCGCCAGCATCCCTGTCCTCCCTCGCCTGCCATTCTCAGCTCCCGGCCAGCCCCTCATCTTGCCAGCATAAGATGGACAGAATGGATTTGGACAGCTGGAATAATCATCATCTCTCACTCTATGTCTCCAATTCCAGTGGGACCTGCCCTGTGCCCTCTTCCCCCACCCTCCCATGGCCTCTCACTCAATTCATTCTTCTCCTGGCACTAGCAGCTATTTTCCACCATCCCACTGGCCTACATCCAACCCACCTCCCCAAGGGGATTTCACTCCCCACTTCATCTATCTCTTTCATACTCCTTGTACTGGAACTGGATCCTCTAGTTCTATTTCTAGATTCTTTCCATTGCTCACTCTTTAACTAGGGTGCTGCTTCTTACCTGCTTTGCATTTCTCTGCCCTCCAACAAGCATCTCTAAAGTCCTCCTGGAAGATGCAGAGCTACAGTCTGCACCTGTGTTCTCTTTTCCCAATGGTTTCCTTCTCTCCATCTTTCCCCACCCTGTCAAAGAAAAAGACCTTTGGTGAAATGATGGCTTTATTGCTATTTTTCATACCTAGATAAGTTCCCTGAGCTCTTTCTGCATTGCTCCCATCACCAAGAGGAAGGGGATGATGCCTCTCTTTGCTGGATGGAACTCTGATTCCATAGTCTCCTGGTCCATTGTTGCTGATTTTCTAGTCTGCATTTCCTTCCCTTGTCATATATACGTAGGACAAGCATACTCCCAACTATCTATTATGGTCTATGTTCAGATGTTCATACAGATTGTTTGGCATCAAAGCCTCCCATAAGCGCTAGTCTCTACTGGCTACTGACTTTTTCCTATCTTTGGGTGACTCTTTAGCCTGGGGCCGAATCCTCTTTTGGGATGTCATGTCTCCCATCCCGCACTGTCTCTTGGCTCGACTCTCTCTTCTCCTGCCATATTTCTTTTGACAGGGCTATGCTCTATGCTACCCATAACTGGCCATTTAATCCCCCTAATTTCAACCTGTAAAAATCTTAAAAATCATCTTTCTTCACAGCTTCCTGTTATGGAAACCAAAACATTTCACATTCCCAAACAAAATGAACTTGGTTGGTTCTCTCTTCACTTTTAAAATTTTCTAGCCCACATATACAACTACAAATATATGTATATCATTGTGTATGAGTACATATATGAGTCTGTCAAAGAATATACACACCAGGAAAAGAAAAACTTGTATAAATATTTTAATATTAAATTTATTGAGACATCTTGAGATTAATACAAGTTACCTTTGGCCTCTACAATTAGAAGAGGTGCTCCGAGTGGTGGCCGTGAGCTTCCAGGTGTTTATTAGTTCAGCGAACTGCTGCTCGGGTAACCTTGGTCACTGAGACTGCTGCACAGGCATTTTCAACTTCTTCACTAAGGGCCAGCAGTGTAGTGGGTCTTCTCCAATATACAACATCCTCTAGGGTCTCCATATAAGGGTAACACCACCTGTTGAAAAACACATACTATTATTCTTTTCCTGAAGTGTGTACACATTTTTCTAGCAAATTCTATATGTATCTATGAGTAAATACGTATTTATAACACATACACACATAACATGTGTATCTACATAAACATACCCACATGTATATACTTGTTCTCTCCCTTTCTTTCTTTCTTACTCTCCATACTGTAGCTGTTAGTTCTCCTAAGTTGAGGTAAAGGAATATTTTACACACAACAATTCTTCTAAGAATATAAATGAGTCACTTCTCTTCCTCTCTCATCACCTCTCAAATAGCCTCAGTTATTTGGGTCTGAATCTAGTTTTGATAATAATATGCCATCGTACTTATCCAAAACTTCTTGATGCATGGCTACTGTTGATGTCCTATGAAGTATATGTAGTCACTGACTCTTCCTTAGCAGTTAAAAGAAAACACCAGAACGTAGAGACAAAGAATATAGGTTCTAATCTCAGTTCCACTACAAGTCATCTGTATACTATTGAACAAATACCATTGCACCTTCAGTTTTATTTCCTGCACCGTAAGTTTGGCTGGTTGAATTAGATATTCTCCAAAGACCTTACTTACAAACTCAATTTTCTCTTATCACTATACGACTTCTTCAAGAATGTTTATCATATTTTCAGAGATAATCTATTCATATGACTTTGAAAATAATTACAATAGAGATTTTTACTAACCTATCAGTTAACCCAAGTGGGTTTAATCCCTGGACCTTACTGTTCTCACCAGTATGGCCTTTGGGCAAGTGCTTAAGCTTTTCAAACCTAAGTTGTCACATTTGTAAAATGAGTGCAGTGGTAGCACCTATGTGGTTGGGTTATAATGTAGGCAAAGCTTGTGGTTGGGTGACTGACACTTTAAAAGGCTCAATAAATGTCCATTATCTTTAATGCATTTACTATTCATTGTTATTTATTACTCAAATGATCCTTTTTAAATTGAAATACAAACACTTTCTATGTTAACCAGTTTGGTCATGACTGCAACAGCCAGCGTGTTTGGCACCTGAAGTCTACTTTCATTGCTTGTCATGATCCAGTTGGATAGTGTCTACTCCCAAAGTAGGGCTCCAGATGATACCATCAGGGATTGATGCATTCACAGATGGATATCTTTATCCCTACATTCACAAACTAAACATTAATGAATTTGAGTTTAGCACTCAAACCTTTATTTTCTCCATTTATTATGGATGACTGAGAGCTGGCCATCTATGTTTAATGAAAAATGCTCATGTATATGTAGGTTAGTTTATAAACTTTGGGGATTGTGTGAGCTTTCTGTAACTGTAACAAAATAACTGAGATATTCGATTATAAAGAGAAAAGGTATATTTTGGCTTAAAGCTTTGGATATTCCAGTTCATGACTGGTGGGCCCATTACTTTGGACCTGTGGTGAGCCAGCACATAATGCCAGAAGTACAAAGCAAAAGAAAATTGCTCACCAATCAGTAAGAAAAAGGAAAGGAAGAAACTAGGATCTCACAATCCCCTTTAAGAGCACACCTCCAATTACCTATGGTGCTGCTATGAGGCTTCATCTCTCAAAGATTCCAGCATCTCCGAGTAGTTCCATCCCAGTAACAAAGCCTCTAATACATGGGCTTCTGAGGAACATTCAAGATCCAAACTACAGCAAGGATTTACAAGGAACTCCTGGGAATCAACAAAGTAAAAGACAGAACACATAATTAAAACATGGGCAAACAAAATGAACACACAATCACAGAAGTAATTCAGTTGAATAAACAGGATAGGAAGAGATAAATATTTTTTTGTAACTGAGACATGCAAATAAAATAACAGTAGCATTTTATACTCATCAGATTGTAGACATCATCCAAATATTTTATAACATAAAGTGTTTGTTGAGATGTGGACACAAAGACATCCTGATTAGAGTGTAGGCAAATGTGGTCATTGTAAAGTTGAGTCTGGAAGTTCTCAACCAAATCAGACTTATGTCTAGACATAGTCTTTGACCAGCAGTGACACTCTTGAGTAATATCCTAAAGAAATTCTCCACAGGTATCTAGTGGAGAATTCACCTGTGGGCAAAATTCACTGTCCAAGGAAATTGGTGGCAATTTAGACATTCATTTCTAACAGAGTAGATGCACACTGGAAAATACAGTGTAGCCAGTGAGAACCATAGTAGAGCTGCAACACATCACTTCAATCTCTATTCCTCACAAAGGACTGTGAAAAATAATGCTCACTATAAGTACTTTTTAAATACACATAAGGAAAATATGAAAAGAAAAAATATCATTTGTGATCCTACCATCCAGATATAACTACCAGTAACACTTTGATGTATATACCTCCAGAATTTGTTACTATGAAATTATAAAAAATGTATTTACCTAGCATACTTAATGTGAATCATACTGTCATTCTCCTTTGTGACCTGCTTTTGTCATGTAATAATATATTGGAAAGAGACTTTTCTCCCACTCTATCTGCCAAGGACTGATCAGGAAACAGATGGCACATTTGAAATAGGAAGAGTGCAGAGGCTTTATTCACAATGGACTCTTTATAAAGTATGGGTCAGTCGTAGATAAGATGACCATGCCTTTAGGTTTGACTGAGATAACCCTAAACAATGTCTGTTGCCTCAATACTAGACCCAGGGTGAAATTTCCCAGGTTATCCACTTTTAATAAATAAAACCTTTTGTTATTTATTACATTAAAATCAAATAGGATGTGTTTGGAAAACTCTTTTTTTGAACTTTCAGTATCTGTACAGTGTGTGATATGTGTGCCCTCAACTCATGAAGTCTGGAAGACTACTTGTGATAATAATAGTTTCTCGGGCCAGGGATTTAGCTCAGTGCTTCTGGAGCCTGCCTTGCAAAAGCAAGGTCCCCAGTTTGATCCCCAGTAATAATAATAATAATAATAATAATAATAATAATTTCTCTTTTTCCTACTTCCAGATTCAATGTAATTGACACATCCTATGCAAAAAAAGTATTCAAGGTACCTACTAATAATAATTTCTTAAAAGTATACTGACACACAAGTAAATGAACTCTAAAAAACATGTATGTATTTCATGAGAAATTAAGTGTTGAATTTCCATTCCTTCAGAAAATTGAGAATGAGAACATAATTTGCACAAAATGTCTTATTATCCCTCACTAGAAGTAGTCATATTGCTAATTCATATAGAAAACTGGACACAAATAAACTGAAGAAACATTAATATCCATTTCATTGAATAATATTTTTGAAGACTGTATCCTAAATCAGCAATTTTTTTTGGTATTAAAATCTTTTATTGGTACATTGTAGGTATACAACACAATTACATTTCTCATTGGGAATTGTACCTTTATATAATGCATCTTGGTTCTTATTTTTTCCCCATTCCTAGCCCTCCCTTCATGCCCTCCACCCTTCCCTATTTACAAAGACTTTATTTCCATTTTTTCCATTTCTCATCATTTTTTCCTTTCCCCTGCCCCTCCCACTACCCCTACCCCTTTGGACCTTTTCTTCCTATTTTACACTATCGATTATTCACTAAATCAGCAATTGCACACACACAACTACAGAAAGTACATTTCTATATTTGTGAACTATGACTTTTCATTTGGATCAAATAAGTTTTCTAAATTTAAAAAGTGAAATTATATCTGTCATTGACTCTATTATGAGAAAATTAACCAGGCAAGTAGATAAAAAAATCTGTGTTATATTAGTGTCTTTAGATGATTCAAATAGAAAATTAATTATCTGAATTTTCAGAAAGGTACTTAGTTTATAAATTCAAATCAAAACTAAAAACTTTTGAAAGTTTAACTTGACATAGTAGTAGCAAATATTTTAAATTTAGGTAAATAGTTCAACATTGCAGATAAAATCAATTGTTTGGATAGTGGTAACATTAACACAGATTTTTAGTAAAGAATAACATCTTGGTGAGAAAAAACACAAAACAACAGAAAAAAAAATAATGTTGTCATCACATGAAGAACACTATGGAGCAGAACATACTTAGAATTTTTTGGAGTACACTGTGTACATCTGAAACATTCTACAGTCCAAACACAAGCCAGAATTTTCAAAACTTACAAGTATTTTTATTTATACATGTTAACAACTATAAATGTTTTTGTGTTAGATCTGATATTAAATAGAAAAAACACTTTAGCACAGCTGTAAGCACTTTCTCTTGTTTTTTATTAATTATACTAGTACATTTTAGGCATACAATATAATGACATTAATCATTGGAAATTTGTACCTTTACATAATCAATCTTGGTTCTTATTTTTTCCCCATTCCCTTGCCCTCCCTTCAACCTCTCCATCCCTCCCTATTTACAAACTTTCTTTCCATTTTTTCATATTAATCCCATTCCCTTCTTTCCTTTCCCCTACCCCACCTACTTCCTCTTCCCCCTTGTCCCTTTTCTTCCTATTTCACATTATTTATGTCACCTTTTTGTCCTTGTTTACACTTTCAATTTCTCACACGAGAGAAACTATTCAGTATTTACACATGTGTGTCCTATTTATTTCACTTTTTTCCCCCCATTAACTTTATTGGTACATTTTAGGTATAAAATACAGTTACATTCATCATTGGGATCTTGTACCATTACATGAGTCCCTTGGTTGTTATTTTTTTTCCCCTTCCCTTGCCCTCCCTTCATCCCCTCCACCCGTCCCTATTTGCAAAGAC